CGAGAAATACCACGTGGCAGTGGCCACCCGTCTGTTCCCTTTATTTTTACTGGACCTGTGGACCAGCGCTGATAAGCGAAATTCGCTTAAGCTCTGCAGCACGTTCGTTTCTTCCAGTGGACGACTTCTTGATTTTTAGTGGCCCAGCGTGTATAATTGTGAGGCTTGCTGAATGTCTGTGACACATACGGCTGACGAATATATACATACATTGGACGGGCGAATTTTGGTTGAGCATACTCATACAGAGCTTTGCTGTAACACAACAGCAGTAGATGTGACCTAAGAGTTCGACAACGGGGTTTTTTTTTTTTTTTGCCTTCGAAGATTTCATATGGCATGCCATCTAGACATGGACGAGTTGGTACATACTGGGAAGAATGCAGCAAGACTTGAACCGAATAAAGGAGGAACGTAAAAAAAAACACGAAGAACAGCACCGTCTGTATACGCTTAGGTGCTCGTATGCGTTTTATGAGTCTCCTTTCTTCGTCCCAGTCTCGCTGCATCCGTCCGAATCGGTAAAACATAAAGTGGTAGTTTTCTGTCAAAACGTTCCCAAAAATTTGCATTTCACGCATGAATGAATGGCAATAAGAGGCCTTCTCACCAGTGCGGCTTGCCATCGAAGTCTACGCTGCTGTCGACCTGGAACGCGTGGACGTGGCCGCACGTTCTAGAATGAACAGTGCGCACAAAATGAAGGTCGCACTGCGTTGTTTCATTAACCGCGATGTTCCTTACGCACGAACACGAAGAAAAAAGGCTCCAGCTTGAAATGACCGTTACGAGCTTCTGGGACATGCGTCGTGTTAAAAGCAGTGCTTGGCTATTGCTGTTTGTGCCCTCTGCACGGGTACTCTTCGTGGAAACAAAAAAGTGCGTCATGACGCCATTCTTTTTTTCCTTTTGTTTTGCAGCAACTATATGTACTGCATTCGCGGCTACGTCTTAGATGGTTATCGAAGGTCGCAGGAAGGCATGGCGTTCTTTCAGCTTTCCATTTCTCCCTTTGTTGTTTTTATTTGATATAGTTCAGCACTCCATGGAAAAGCGCCCATGAATCAGCGTGTGTGTAACCCATATTTATTTGTTTATTTCTTTCACTTTTTGGACAACACCATTGCATTTCCCGCGGTCAGGACAAAAGGCGGTGGTTTGGCTCCTGACGACGTTCTGCTCACGCTGGGCGTAACAGTGGTAGCGCTAAATTGACATTTACAATTGAAAAGAACATTCCATATACAATAAAAATATTACATAAAATATACATATTCACAAAAGCAGCCGTCAACTTGACAACAGAACTCTGCGCTACAAGATGCCTAGAACAACAAGCAATAATATTTGACACAGTTGCCACATCTGAGCACAAGAAGCTTAAAAAGCAAAGAATAATAGGAAGATCAAGCGAATGTGCTTACAGAAATATACACACATATGTATATGTATATACACGCCCCACCCATATATATATATATATATATATATATATATATATATAAGGGAAAGAAGTGTATACCTAAGGGCTAGTCCTTTTTCCGTGTTTTAACACAATATTAATGAGATCTAACAGACAGTAATGCCAAGGAATGTACAGGGGAAGTTATTATAACCAATGCAATGTAAATAAGAAGAAAGAAAAATGGAATAAAAAATAACCAGGCGTGAGCTTTCTTCTTATATACATTCCATTGGTTCTAATAACTTCCCCTGTACATTACTTGGCATTACTGTCTGTTAGATCTCACATATATATATATATATAGAAATATATATATATATATATATATATATATATATATATATATATATATATATATATATATTCGTTTTTCTGTGTTTTAACACCATATTAATGAGATCTAACAGATAGTAATGCCAAGGAATGTACAGGGGAAGTTATTAGAACCAATGGAATGTAAATGAAAAGAAAGAAAAGTGGATGAATAAATAAGTGGATGACAAAATAACCAGCCGTGAGCACGGCTGGCTGGTTATTTTTTCATCCACTTTTATTTCTTCTTATTTACATTCCATTGGTTCTAATAACTTCCCCTGTACATTCCTTGGCATTACTGCCTGTTGGATCTCATTAAGATTTATATATATATGTATATATATATATATATATATATATATATATATATATATATATATATATATATATATATATATATATATATATATATATATGTGTGTGTGTGTGTGTGTGTGTGTGTGTGTGTGTGCAGCCCAATCAACCGCGCACAAAATATGGAACAACACAAATTATATTCTTCACAAAAAAAACAACACCTCCCTCCGATGTTTGTTTACAGCTAATCAATTGACAAGGTTGCGCGTTTCCCGGACTTGCTTTAAGGATTGCGTGTGTTATGCTTGAACTCGTTGCAACGGATTGGTTATAAGCGGCACTGCTGCATGCGTACACACCACCGCTATTTCATTATTGATGAAGAGTCTTAGGCGAAGATGCGAATTCATAAACGTACAGACGAAGAATTCATACTGAGATGATTGCAAAGTGAAGCGGTGATACCTCTACACGAATATAATCCGCATACTTCAACGATGGCTCATTCGGTAGATTCGTATTACGTGCGTATTATCTTCAGCAGGAACCGTAACATTTGCGTGTTGAAGGAATAAAACATTCGTGTACCTAGTGTGCGTTGGGCACGGGCGCCCACTGTTAAGTACTCCGAGGTATATTTTAATAATCATGTGCTAGCTGTGTATGGTGAAGCGCCCGGAGTCCTGGTATAGCGTTTTTATCAACACATGTTGGAGTCTATGCGATAGGTAGACCAGACAACAGAGACTACATGCACATGGTTACAGAGTTACCAAGGCGCAGTAGATGATGACATATCATTTCATGAGTTTTTATAATACAACCCTCAAAACACTAATTCATGGCATGCATGTCGGGTTCGTTTTGTAGCTCTTACGATGTAGTTCCTTTTTGTTGCAAAAATAATAAGCTTAAATAATCTCTTTGATGTTAGCCGCTACTCACTTTGACCTATCCACCACTTATCAAGAATTTTAAGCTCTTGTCTCTAACTTTTTCCTGTGTCATAACTTAGCTAAATTTATGCTATATAAAATGAAGTTTGGTACGTACGTAAGTGCTTGAATTTCTACCTTCTGATTCTATCAGACGCCCACATGGTTACAGAGTGACATTTCTTGAGACGAGGATTCATCGTCGCATGTATTCTCCCGCACTAAGGAAAACCTGCCACCACGCCATAATGTGACTTCAGCTGAGTGATCTCACCACATGTACCAATTTTCCGCCCATTTCCACCCTTATACGACCAAAAAATCTGTTCCTTGTTCAGCCCTTTATTCAGTTTTACACCCCACAAACTCAGCTCAATTGTACTCCGTCACATCGCATAGTCCTCAGTTAAGTTTTAATAACAATAGTTGTTGGACTAGTTGAATCAGTGTATCAACATAATATATCCAGCCAAAAAATTAGCGTACACAGGAAACTGAGAACAAGACTGAATAGTGGCTCGACTACCGACTGTTTATTTTGTTGGCAGTCGGTGTCAGTAAAGTTCACAAAATATTCACTCTCAGTAAAGTGTGCCGCAGGCCCAGATTTGCTGAAGTTCTGATTTAGTGAGATTTCCTCGGTCTAAGGCTTTTCACACTGACCTAAAGCAGGCATCTTCTGAAACATACACGATAAGAGCGCATCCCATTCTCGTAACAATCCATAAGAATGGTTATGTGCCAGCAATATAACATTCCCTTTCTATCTCTGCATTTCCATGTTTAGAAATGTTGTTAAACACCTTCCAAGACAATTAGAGGTATTATTTATACAGAAAACGCCAGGTGATGATATAGCCTGCGTCGCAAAAGGATAATCAACCGTGGGGCATGGTTTTGCTGGGCGAAAATAGCTATGTTTCAGCCAAGATATATAGCGATAAGTGCCTCGAAAGTAGAAGGTTTGGCTCGAAGCTCAGCGTATGCACACTTATGAGAAAAGCGACGCTTCATTCTGCGTCGTTTTTATCTTTCTTACTCAAATGGTCATCCTCATTTGCACTTTCATGCATATCACTGCCACACTGTGAGCCGTAAGTGCCGCTTATTGAAGTCTCTAGCTTTCCCTTTTGTGCTTGGTTTTCTGGCAAAAAAGAATGCGTCATTTTTATTTGTTTCAATACGAGATTATGCTGGCATGACGATGCGTCCCCGTAAAGGTGCTTCGCTTCTCAAAGGTACTAATTAAAGGACATTATAGTGCCCTTTATAATGTACCCTTTATAGGGTGTCATATAATGACCCAGCTATAGAGCAAAAAAAAAAAAACGCCATTTCGACACGGGGTGTTCAACCTCGTTTTCATATGCGTGGCATCACTTCAGGGGAAATGGTATTTTTCTTTGTCTCACACAGTAGCCTGCACGCACGCACACACCGTGCAGTGAACTTGCATCGAGGCAGGTAGGAGAGAGTTGCGTGTGTCATATGCGCGCACGCACGAAAACGCGGGCAGGTGGCGACGCGGAAAAACCTGCGGCCACAAACGAGCACGTATGAGCGAGGCGGGCAAATGACACTGATCTCTTTTTTTATTTTCGTTGATCTTCCCGCGATACGGCGTTTATCAGCTTGAGTTGTTCTACGGGGGAGAGTAGTTGAAGAAGAGATACAGCGAGAAAAGTGAGGGACTAACTGCGACCCTAGACCCACTTTTGGCACCTTCCGTAAAAACGAACAGGTCGTAATGAACAGATGAAAAGAACAAAAAGGGAAAGCGAAAGAAAGCTAGCAAGGTGGTGGCAATAACCGCAGCTGTGCCCCGCTACTGTAAAACAATGGTTGATTTCAGGCGCACACGTCACGACATGCTAAGACAATGAAGAACGCACCGCCACCTCCGAAATGGCGGAGGGGGTAGCTCGGAAAGTGGAGGAAAGAGTGATGAGAGGTGACTAACGAAGGAAAAGTTATAACGTTTGCGCTCGCACCCCAAGTGGTCACATTTTGTGAACGTTCGCACACGGCGCCTCGAACGGAGTTTGCACGCCACCCTGTGTCCGGAGTTTTACACCCGACGCCGCCTGTACACCATGACAATGGTAAGATACGTGACGCGCTTCAGTGTACTTATGAAACTGTGTTCGAAAGTAGGTAGCCGTCGAAAAAGAATTTCAACTGCTCGGATTGAATTGTGAAACGTGCAGGCAGACTTTTTCTCCCTTTTTTTTTTCTTTTCGTCCAGAAAGAATGGTTAAGGCAGACGCTGACAGTGGATAACAGCAAATGACTGTTACTCTTAAGCAGAACTGCTTGAGGCTATGAGAATGAAATTGAGAGGGCTATTAACCATTAGTACATCCGAGAATTATTTGAGCAGTGCGAGTCTCTGTGGTTCCCCTTCTAGGTCACAGAATAAGTTAACCTCTGTTCATTTAAAGAAAACGCCGAACGTCCCTTGCTCACAGTGATCGCTACCTTCAGAAAGGCGCTAATCAAAATAATTGCCTTCTTTAGTTCCCCTGTGGCATTGTACACGACAACTGCTCGCTATTGTGCTCAGTTTAGCCGTTTGGCCACTACTCGGCACACTGTGATCTTCATCTGTACGAAGGCGCTTCAATTTCTGAACGTGCATTACGACAGAAGTATAGTGGCGAATAGACAACTCGGCTTCCGGCTTATCAGTAAGCTTCATCGGTGATGCGTGAAAGAGTTAATGGACGAGCATCGTAGTGTGGAACCGTCAACAGTTTCACTATGAAACCCTCATTGCCAAACGCAAGCATGTTTCGCAAACCACGCGTATACAGGAGTTTTCTGGCGTTCAGAAGTTTAGATGTGCAGTAACGCAGTTGCAAGAATTTAGATAATTGGCCCAGTTAGTACATGATTGTATAAGAAACCAGCAAGGAACAAGTGGCATAGGAAAAGAAAGCGATAGGACGAGTTGGATCCGGCTTCATCCTGTTGTCTTCTTTTTTCTACGTTTGTATTTCCAAGCTGTTTTTTTTTTCTGATATACTCAAACATCATGTGTTTCCGTAGACTGTGTTGACTGCGCGTGGAAATATATGAGATCTTAGAAAATTATCTATGGACGTTGGAAACACGATTGGAGGGGAAGAGTGGCATAGAGACAAGTGGAAAAACTTTGTATTGCCACCCCTAAATTTCCATTCGTCATTACTTTGTTCTCAAATTGGGTTTAAACCACAATACGCGGGATGTTGGAATTCCCATCAGCTGCGCATGATTCGCAGTTCGAATGTGTTTCTGCCTCATAAAACATAATATTGAAACCTCAAGATTTTATTCGCCAAGAATTCTCCATCCAACAGCTTATCATGAGCTAACACTATTTAGCTCATGAAAAGTTGAAGCTAGAGTGGTAGGGGGGACTAGCTGTCAAAGCATGTATTTTAGGGTAACTTGCAAAGCAATATAAGAGTGCTGCGCTTGTTTATAGTGTCATAAATGTGATAGATATGCTTTGCAGTGGGTCATGTGTCGGCATCAGTTTCATCTGAACTATAGCGATAAAAAACATCATTGAGCTTCTATTGTTCATACATGGCTAAACGTTGAAAGCATCTCAGATAATATATGTACCTGATGGCAAACTGAGACTAGGCGTACAACTTATAAGCTAGATGCTAGAGGTAAATGTGCGGTTCATTATCTGATTGTATATGTATAAAAGTTGAACGATTACATGTGCGTTCACGGCTCGTTGCCTGCATTAGTCTTACCGCCCTTTTCGTGTATTCTGGTGCACCTGTTTGGCGAGAGTGGCGAATGATCTTCCTTCTCACATTGATTCCATCATTTCTGCTCGTTAACAATGCTTCAAATTGTATGAAGGAGCAGCACATTTTTTCTCTTTAAATTAACTGTTCTTATTGAAAAGCTACTAATTTTATGTTCGTGTGAGTCTTATGAATTTAGGTGTTAAGAATTTTGTTGCATAGCCAGTGCCGACGTTAGACATTTTGTAACGGATGCACACAAATGCATGTGCAATAGTGTTTCGACACCTTTTTGCGCGCTTCAACCAATGGCACGTGTGCGAATGATATACAAGTGTGTGATCTGCATACAAAAGTCTCGCCTGCAAATAATGCACGCATCGATAGCGTGCTTGTTAAGCCGTGTTTTCTGAATAACTTACACCTACAGTTTCTGGGTGTCTCCAAAAGAGCCACATTTGCAGATGTCCTGGTTGTGAAGCTGTTCTCGACGCATACGCCGTAAACCAACGAATGATACTTGAACTTCATTAGAGCAGAATATACGCTAATCAAGAGAATAATTTCTAGCACAATAATGACAACTCATAGCCTGAGTTTCTTGGTTTATTGCGCATGCTTGGTCAATCTCACTATTAAAGCGTTGTTCAGTGTTGCACCGTTTACACGAACGTCCCGCTCAAGGCAAACAGCGCCATAACAAAGTGACTGGATCTCGGAAAAAGTTTCATATAATATCGCTAAAAGTGGGCAGCCAAGAAGCGTTGAGGTTCTCGTCGTGTTTCTACTTCACCGCGTACTTATAGACCACCACAGCATGAAGCACGTTGTTGCCTTGTTTTGCAACAATTAATATAGTACTCCACATTGCATAGACGTCAACTACAGTTGAGTCTGTCAAACTATTGCTCTCTATTTTTTATTATAAGGGGATCTTGTCCATAACCGGTTGTAGTTGGTGATTCTCGGTAGCTGAAATTACCGACAATATTTTCTGTATGAGGTTCTCTGTTGTTGCCAGTGAAACAATAGTGGCCTCGTATTTTGAGAGTTTCATAATCTGTAGACTCCCACACAAACATCTCCAGATTTTTATGAAAATATTTTTTTCTCTCTTTCCAGATAGACTGCAAATATTTGCTTACCACATTGAGAAAATGCATTGGATGACCACGTAGAGCTCAGGACGAACGCGTAGAGACGCAATTAGCAGCACCAATGAATAATCTCGCGCAGTTACAGTCAAACACTTAGCTTGTGTAGACACTTGAGGCGGTCACTGTATAACGCTGGTGAAATAGAGAGGATGGTGCAGCATTCGAGAATGGTCTTGATCTGTCATTGTTTTTAGACATGTTGAAGTAAGCCTTAATCTTGCCATTCCACAACAAAGAAGAAAGAAAAAGAAAAAAATAAACTTCCGTACGAACAGTGAATCACTGATACTTATAGCAAGGTTCAGTGTATCGCTTGGACACATCCAAAGGTTTTTAAAATGACGCGGGTGTGACAGATCAGTGTGACGCAGCAAACGACGTAGATCTTTTTCGCCAGAAAGTTTCGTTATCGAGTCGCCTCAAATAAGCGGTAGGTGGTAAACGCCATCAGAGGAGTAGCGCAGAGAGGGTGGAGTGCTACTGTATACAGTAACACTCCACCCCCTCCCCTCCTGGTGCTGTATTTCTTAAATATATGTAACAGGTACGGCGTCATGACTCACAATTCTCTGCAGAGGGTGTGCATTCGGTCTTGTTGGTTTGTGATTATGTGCCAAAATAGCGCTAATAAATGGTACGAAGCGAAAGAAAACAATGGTGCGCGTTCTTTTGATTCGTCGCGTCTTGCAGCGCTGCTTCCAGCACATGATCACAATGCTTTCGTATAATAGTGTCGCAGAGAATAGCGCTGTCAGTGACGGTACAGGTGCTGCATCTCAATGGTTCATGTCACGAGACCGACGGTAAACCGTTCGCGAAGTCTCGCCAGGCATCTCAACTCGCTGGCTTGTAGGAGGAAAATTGTTAGGTGTGTCTCCAGCATTATAAGGATACGTGCACGGCCTAATTCTAAGAATAAAGAGATTTTATGCTAGACGTGCCGAAGACTTCACTTGGACGGCTAAAATTTGTTAATGAAGGTTTCTATATCCTCTCCTTCTGCGAAATATGATGGAATGTTTTTGCTTATACGTGCGCCAAATTTATCACACTTTATCCCTTTACATTGGACCCTTCCTTTGCAAGAAAGCCCACTTGACAGTATGTTGGCTAGATAATTTATTTTTAAGTCATAATAATCAAAGAATGAGTAAGTATATAGTAAATGTGTAGTACCTATTTTTTTCTTTTTTATTTAGAGCGTTGAATGATGGTATTGCAAAATGTATCCAATTTGATTATTCACAGCACGCAAGACAGTATTGTTGGCGATATGCTAGAAGCCCGTGTACTTATACTCAGGTATTGGTTAAGGAACATCTGGTCGTCAAAAATTTCGGACCCCCTCCTTTCCCTACAGCGTCTCTTTATGTGGAGTTTTTGGCACGTGAAGCCCGACAATTATTACGTATAGGAGATCTTGTTATGCAGGGCTGCCAGAAAAAAGCTTGGCGAACGACCCGTCAAACGTTTCAGTTGAGTCTTCAGCTAGGTGTGTCTCCTGTAGCGATAAGCCACAAAAGAGAGTAAAATCAAACAAGTCAGGCATGCATGGAGTTGCAATAACTTGAAGGTACGCGTTCGATAGATGCAAACAGCCTTACAGTAAGCCACAAGCACGCTCAACAGTTATTCAGTAGCTCCTGAAACATGAGTGTCCTTTTTGACCGTACAAGTATAGCAGGGCGGCCGGAGTATGGCCGGGTATGACTTGTGCCCGCTTGACCGGTATGTGTCCAGCGGTGGGGCCATCCACTGGTAAAGCGGGTGTTCACTATACTTTTGTTAGCACTGCTTGGAAGAAATGGTGAAAAGAACAGGCATTCCTAAATATAGACACAAGATTTTGATTACTAAGAAAAGAAAAAGAGAACAAAAAGAAATAGTGTTAAAAGACGCTCACACTTAACCACAGACCACAGTATTCCCAAGTTTGGTTAAAACAATGTCAACACGTCCCACGAAAATAATACTGGAAATGGCATATTATTAACGGGAAATCATGCGTGGTGATACTGCTGGAAATGTTGAAGATGTGTGACGTAATAGCATAAAAGATGAGATTTAGTTGGCATTGCATAATCAAGAATGTAACTGGGCTACTTGAAACCTTAAGACTGAGGATTACAAGAGCGTACTTTTTGAGGTGCCAGCCAGCGCTAAGCTTTGTCTGCTCATTCAGTTTTGGTTCACGTC